TGTAAATTGCCTTTATTATGTTTAGGTATGTTCCCTGTATTCCTGATCTCTCTAAGGTCTTTATCATGAAGGGGTGTTAGATTTTGTCAAAGGCCTTTTCAGCATCTAATGAGGTGATCGTGTGTTTTTTTTCCTTTCAGTTTATTTATATGATGTATTACATTGACAGATTTTCATATGTTGAACCCTCCTTGCATCCCTGGGATGAAGTCTACTTGATCATGGTGGATAATTTTTTTGATGTGTTCTTGGATTCAGTTTGCCAATATTTTATTGAGTATTTTTGCATCAATGTTCATGAGGGAGATTGGTCTGTAATTCTCTTTCTTTGTTGCATCTTTGTGTGGTTTGGGCATCAGGGTAACTGTAGCTTGGTAAATAGATTTGGTAATATTCTTTCTGTTTCTATTGTGTGGAACAATTTTAAGAGTATTGGAATTAGCTCTTCTTTGAAATTCTGGTAGAATTCTGTGCTGAAACCATCTGGTCCTGGGCTTTTTTTTTTTGGTTGGTGGCTTTTAATGACTATGTCTATTTCCTTAAGGGTTATTGGCCTATTTTAATAGTTTATCTGGTCTTGATTTAACTTTGGTATATGGTACCTATCCAGAAAATTGTCCATTTCTTTCAGATTTTCCAATTTTGTGGAGTACAGTTTTTTGAAGTATGACCTGATGATTCTCTGGATTTCCTCATTATCTGTTGTTATGTCTCCCTTTTCGTTTCTGATTTTGTTGACTTAGATTCTCTCTCTCTGCCTTTTGTTTAATTTGGATAAGGGCTTGTCTATCTTGTTGATTTTCTCAAAGAACTGACTCTTTGTTTTATTGATTCTTTATATTGTTCTTCTTGTTTCTATTTCATTGATTTCAGCTCTCAATTTGATTATTTCCTGGTGTTGATTCCTCCTGGGTGAGTGTGTTTCTTTTTGTTCTAGAGCTTTCAGGTGTGCTGTTAAGTCACTAGTGTGAGATTTCTTCATCTTCTTTATGTGGGTATTTAGTGCTATGAATTTTTCTCTTAGCACTGTTTTCATAGTGTTGCATAAGTTTGGGTATGTGGTATATTCATTTTCACTGAATTCTAGGAAATCTTTAATTTCTTTATTTCTTCCTTGACCCATTGGTGATTCATTTGGGCACTATTCAGTTTCCTTTGAGATTGTAGGGTTTCTGTAAATTTTGTTGTTGTTGAAATCTAACTTTTAGTCATGGTGATCTGATAAAATACAGGAGGTTATTCCAATTTTTTTTATATATATCTGTTGAGATTTGCTTTGTGACTGACCATGTGGTCAATGTAAGAGAAGGTTCTATGAGGTGCTGAGAAGAAGGTATATTCTTTTGTGTTAGGGTGGAATGTTCTGTAGGTATCTATTAAGTCCATTTGAGTCATAACTTCTGTTGGGTCCCTTATTTCTCTGTTAAGATTCAGTCTGGCAGATCTATCCGGTGGTGAGAGTGGGGTGTTGAAATCTCCCACTACTAGTGTGTGGGGTTTGATGTGTGATTTAAGCTTTAGTAATGTTTCTTTTACAGATGTGGGTATCCTTGTATTTGGGCATAAATGTTCAGAATTGAGACTTCATCTTGGTGGATTTTCCCTGTGATAAGTATGTAATGTCCTTCCCAATCTCTTTCGATTGATTTTAGTTTGAAGTCTATTTCCTTAGGTATTAGGATAGCTACACCAGCTTGCTTCTTAATTCCATTTGATTGAAAGTCTTTTCCTAGCCTTTTACTCTGAGGTAGTGTCTGTCTTTAAAGTTGAGATGTGTTTCTTTTATGCAGCAGAAGGATGGATCCTGTGTTTGTATCCATTCTGTCAGCCTGTGTCTTTTTATAGGTGAATTGAGACCACTGATATTAATGGATATTAATGACCAGTGATTGTTAATTCCTGTAATTTTTTTTGTTGGTAGTTTTGTGTATTTCTCTTCTTTGGTATTTTTTGGTGTTATTGTGTTTTCATGGGTGTATCTAACTTCCTTAGTTTGGATTTTTCCTTCTGGTGCTTTCTGTAGGGCTGGATTTGTGGATAGGTATTGTTTAAATCTGGTTTTATCATGGAATATTTTGTTTATTCCATCTATGGTGATTGAGAGTTTTGCTGGATATAATAGTCTGCATTGGCATCCATGGTCTCTTAGTGTGTGCATACCATCTGTCCAGGACCTTCTGGCTTTTCAGAGTCTTCATTGAGAAATCAGGTGTTATTCTCATGGGTCTGCCTTTATATGTTATTTGGGCTTTTTCCTTTGCAGATCTTAATATTTTTTCTTTATTCTGTATGTTTAGTGGTTTGATTATTATGTGGTGAGGGGTCTTTTTTTTGATCTAGTCTATTTAGTGTTCTGTAATCTTCTTGTACCTTCATAGGAATTTCCTTCTGTATGTTGGGAAAATTTTCTTCTATGATTTTCTTGAATATATTTTCTGTGCCTTTGAATTGGTATTCTTCTCCTATCCCTATTATTCTTAGTTTTGGTCTTTTCATGGTGTCCCAAATTTCCTGGACGTTTTGAGTTATGACTTTTTTTGTCTTTAGTGTTTTCTTTGACTAATGAAACTATTTCCTCTATTGTATCTTCAACGCTAGAGATTCTCTCTTCCATCACTTGCATTTTGTTAGTTTGTAGTTCCTATTTGTTTATTCAGATTTTCCCTTTCCAGCCTTCCCTCAGTTTGTGTCTTCTTTATTGCCTCTATTTAAGTTTTCAAATCTTGAACTTTTTCATTCATTTGTTTAATTGCTTTTTCTTGGCTTTCTCTAAGGGATTTATTGATTTCTTCCAAGTTTTTTTTTTCGAATTTTTTTTATTTTATTTTGCAATACAATTCAGTTCTACATATCAGCCACGGATTCCCTTGTTCTCCCCCCCTCCCGTTCCCCTCACCTTCCCCCCAGCCCCCCCCCATTCCCATCTCCTCCAGGGCAAAGCCTTCCCCACAGACTGAGATCAACCTGGTAGACTCAGTCCAGGTAGGTCCAGTCCCCTCCTCCCAGGCCGAGCCAAGCAATCCTGCATAGGCCCCAGGTTTCAAACAGCCAACTCATGCAATGAGCACAGGACCCGGTCCCACTGCCTGGATGCCTCCCAAAAAAATTCCACCAAGGAGCTGATACAGCTTATAAACACCTTCAGCAACATAGCAGGATACAAGATCAACTCAAAAAAATCAGTAGCCCTCCTATATACAATGGACAAAGAAGCGGAGAAGGAAATCAGAGATACATCACCCTTTACTATAGCCACAAATGACATAAAATACCTTGGGGTAACACTAACCAAGCAAGTGAAGGACCTATATGACAAGAACTTTAAGTCCCTGAAAAAAGAAATTGAAGAAGATGTCAGAAAATGGAAAGATCTCCCATGCTCATGGATAGGCAGGACTAACATAGTAAAAATGGCAATCTTACCAAAAGCAATCTACAGATTCAATGCAATCCCCATCAAAATACCAACACAATTTTTTTTCGAATTTTTTAAGTGTAGTTTTTATTTCCTCTTTAAAGGCCTCTATCATCTTCTTAAAGTCATTTTTAAGGTCTATTTCTTCTGCTTCTTCTGTTTTGGGATGTTCATGTCTTGCTGTTGTAGTACCACTAGGTTCTGATGGTGCCATATTGGTCTTTATGTTGGTAGTATTTTTGCACTGTTGTCTACCCATCTCTTCCTCCACTTCGTGTAAGTGGTGTCTGTGTCTGAGGGAGCCTTTTTTGGTCCGATTGATACACTTGGTCTAATGAGAGCTCTTGGTTTAAGCCAGGCTCTTGGTCCAATTGGTGCTGATGGATTCTGTATCTCAGGGAGCAGATCTTAGTCCAATGGGCACCAGTGGGCTCTGTTTCTGGGAGCATCTATTCCTAATTGGTGCAGGGTGGGACCTGTTTTCTGTTCCCAATTGTTGCAGGATAGGCTTATGTCTCCAATTTTCACTGGTGTCACAGGGGGTGTTTTCTTGGCAAGGGATAGGGGAAGAGGCAGCTAGCTGGTCCCTGGGGCTCCAGTGGCTTGCAGGAGTGACACAGAACATGCCCCTGGGGCCTAGGGGCTAGGGACCTGGTCTTCTCAGTCCAGAGATGGGGTCTTACCTGTTTCCAGTTCGTGCAGGGTGGGCTTATGACTCTGGTGGTTGCTGGCATCACAAGGGGCTGTTTTCTTGGCGAGGGGGTAGAGAAGAGGCAGCTGGCTATTCCCTGGGACTCCAATTGCTTGGGGGGCACAGAACGTGCCCCTAGGGCCTAAGGGCTAGGGACCTTGTCTGTCCAGTCCAGAGATGGGGCCTTACTGAGGGAACTTTACCTATTCCCAATCAGTGCAGTGTGGGCTTATGTCTCCAGTTTTTCACTGGTGTCACAGGGGGCTGTTTTTCTTGGTGAGGGGTTGGGAGAAAGGGCAGCTGGCTGGTCCCTGGGGCTGAAATTGCTTAGGGGAAGGGTACAGGATGTGTCCCCGGGGACTAGGGCCTAGGACCTGGTCTGCCCAGTCTGGAGATGGGGCCTTATCCGTTCCCAATTGGTGAAGGGTGGGCTTGTGTCTCCCTCAAATTTCTAATTAACTACTTAGCTAATTGTTATAGGACCACCATAGAGACAGAGGCCAAGGACCATCAAATATACCCAGTTGGTAAGGAACAGTAACAGATTAGAGATATTCACACACCCAGACTCAAAAGTGCCTGGACTCTGCAAAAAACTGACCTTAATATAGTAATTTATTACTTTTAAATGACCTCAGTAATTGATCACCTGTATCTCCTGGATGCTAAACTAATAAAGAAAACAGGTGCCTCGAGGTTTGTCTTAGATAAGACTTACCTCAGGTGAAAATTAAAAGCATGTTCCAGGTCTCTCTCTTTCTCTCTCTTGCTAACACTAACTAATAACATTCAGATAGCAGAGTACTAAACATTTAATATCATTGCTACCAGCTCAAGATTTTAAATTCCCTGCAGCTGCTTCTTAATATGTTTAAAATTTCTTCTGTGTTACAGAGCCAGCTTGAATAACACCTGTACAAGTCAGATCCACTTCAGATAAGTATCATTCTAATTTTCCTGGTCCTGGGTCCCCCTTTCCTCACGCTGAGACCCCTTCGGGACCTCCCCAAGGTAAAATTTTTCTAAACTTCCTCTTCTGCCTTGCTAGCACCTTGTCAGATCCAAACAGTCATATCCAAGCAGCGATGGACAATTCAACAGAGCCTGAAGCAGCAGAAGATGATGGAGAATTCCCAAAGCAGTGGAATACAATCTACTACCTCAGGACATCTGGCTACCTCAAGAGCCCCCTTCCCTACCCCCAAAAGTTAACCAATGCCCACTGAGTCAGCTGGAAGCAGTTTTGGGAGACACAGCACCCCCATTCCTGTTCACTCACCAATTTTTATAAAAGAGTCTGGAATGTTAGAATTCCTAGCCACTCCCCCAGCTACATGACTGCACATGTGCTGTCCAGTAGCCAGGCAAGATTAGTCATCCCAAGGCCTTACATCCTACATAATCCATGTGCTGCATGATCATGTAATTTGCTCACAACATGATCATGTAATCTATGAGCATGTGTGTCATAGCTATGTAAGCCTATAAGTGTATGTGCAGGAGGGAGCTATAAAAGCAGGTTCCACCTATTGCTTCTCTCTCTTCCTGCATGGTCATTCCATAAGCCTATGCGCACCCTCTCTCTATTCCCTTAATAAACTCTTATAGTGGGTTTTTTGTGCCTCATGGCTTCTCTCATATAGTAAATAGCACTGTTTAATAAATAACATTGCACTGCTTAATAAATACAAAGACTCCTAGCAGGAGTAGATATGTAGCAAATTGGCCATCTCCTGTGACCAGGCAAGACTTTCAGTGGAAGGATTGGGACCCCAAACCAGCCACATAACCTTCAACCTACAGTCTGTCCTGCCTATGGGATATGCTGGGGTAAGGATTGAGCAGAGATTGTGGGAGTGGCCAACCAATGACTGGTCCAGCCTGAAACCCATGCCATAAGATGAGCCCACACCTGACACTGCCTGGAGTGCCAGACCTAGAGGCTAGATGACCCAGAGACCTAAGATAGACCCAAACATGATTGGTTAAAAAATTCTATGCAATGTTGCCTAATATTCTGTTATACTCATAGATTGGTGCCTAGCCCAACTGTCATCAGAGAGACTTCATCCAGCAACTGATGGAAACAGATACAGAGACCCAAAGTCAAATATTTGGTGGAGCTCAGGGATCCTGAGGAAGAAGGTAGAAAGAATTATAGGAGCCAGAGGGATCTAAGACATAACAAGAAAACCCACAGAATCAACTACTCTGGGCTCATAGGGGCTCACAGAGACTGAACCAACAACCAGGGAGCCTACATGGGACTGATCTAGGCCATCTGCATATATATGACAGTTGTATAGCTTGGTCTTCTTGTGGGACTCCTAACAGTGTGAGCAGGGGCTGTCTCTGACTCTTTTGCCAGATTTTGGGCCCCTATTCCTCACACTAGGTCACCTTGTCCAGCCTTAATAGGAGGGGAGGTGCTTAGTCTCACTGCAACTTGATATGCCATGTTTTGTTGATCTCCATGGGAGGCCTTCCATTTTCTGAATAAAAAAGAATGAGGAATGGATTTGGGAAAGGCAGAGGGGAGGTGGGAGGGAGAAGAACTGGTAAGAGAGGAGGGACAGGAAACTGCAGTTGGGATGTAAAATAAATAAAATAAATAAAAGATAATGTTAAAATGAATCTCAGAAATGAGAATGGAGAAATAATTAAGACATCTAGAGAATATATTTAAATTATGAAAATACAGTGTGAGTCTTCCAATGAAATGAATATTGGGGACTGAAGATGTAGCCCAGTTTAACACACAGTTTGAGGCAAGCCTGGACTATAGACCCTGTTAATAAATAAATAGTTGACCACAAACATTCAATTCAATTTTTCTAAGACATAAAATGGTAATTGAAAATAAATTTTTTTGTGGTGCTTGGGACTGAACCCAAGCCTCACAAGAGCTAACTAGAAAAGAATATACCATCTTCTCATGGAACCTATTCTAAAATTGACCACATACTTGGTCACAAAGCAAATCTCAGCAAACACAGAAAAATTGGAATAGCCTCCTGTATTTTATTGGATCACCATGGCTTAAAGTTAGATTTTGACAACAACAAAAATTACAGAAAGCCTACAAATCTCATGGAAATTGAATAATGCTCAACTGAATAAAATCTTCTCAAGGAAGAAATCAAAAAAGAAATTAAAGACTTCCTAGAACTCAATGAAAATGAATGCACAACATATCCAAACTTATGGGACACTATGAAAACAGTGCTAAGAGGAAGATTCATAGCACTAACTGCTCACATGAAGAAGTTGGAGAAATCTCACACTAGTGACTTAACAGCACACCTGAAAGCTCAAGAATAAAAAGAAGCAAACTCACCCAGGAGGAATAGGGGGCAGGAAATAATCAAATTGAGGACTGAAATCAATGAAATAGAAACAAGAAGAACAATACAAAGAATCAATAAAACAAAGAGTCAGTTCTTTGAGAAAATCAACAAGATAGACAAGCCCTTATCCAAATGAACCAAAAGGCAGAGAGAGAGAGAGAGAGAGAGAGAGAGAGAGAGAGAGAGAGAGAGAGAGAGAGACAGAGAGAGAGACAGAGAGAGAGAGAGACAGAGAGAGAGAGAGAGAGAGAGAGAGAGAGAGAGAGAGAGAGAGAGAGAGAGAGAGAGAATCCAAATTAACAAGATCAGAAATGAAAAGGGAGACATACAACAGACAATGAAGAAATTCAGAGAATCATCAGGTCACACTTCAAAAACCTGTACTCCACAAAATTGGAAAATCTGAAAGAAATGGACAATTTTCTGGATAGGTACCATATACCAAAATTAAATCAAGACCAGCTAAACAATTTAAGTAGACCTATAACCCCTAAGAAAATAGAAACATTAAAAAGTCTCCCAACCCCCCCCCAAAAGCCCAGGACCAGATGTTTTCAGCCCAGAATTCTACCAGAATTTCAAAGAGCTAATACCAATACTCTGCAAATTGTCCCACACAATAGAATCAGAAGGAACATTGTCATTCCAATTTTAGTATATGTGCTGCTGAAGTGAGCACCAGAAGGAACATTGTCAAACTCCTTTTATGAGGCTACAGTTACCTTGATACCCAAACCACACAAAGATGCAACAAGGAAAGAATTACAGACCAATCTCCCTCATGAACATTGATGCAAAAATTCTCAATAAAATACTGGCAAACTGAATATACTATCATAGCATCTGCAAATAATGAAAGCTTGATTTCTTCCTTTCCAATTTGTATCCCTTTGATCTCCTTTTGTTGTCTTATTGCTCTAGCTAGTACTTGAATCCAAAAACACATCAAAAAAATTATCTACCATGATCAAGTAGGCTTCATCCCAGAGATACAAGGATGGATCAACATAAAAAAAATCTGTTGATGTAATACACCATATAAACAAACTGAAAGGAAAAAAAACCACATGATCATCTCTTTAGATGCTGAAAAAGCCTTTGACAAAATCCAACATCCCTTCATGATAAAGGTCTTGGAGAGATCAGGAATGCAAGGAACATACCTGAACATAATAAAGGCAATTTATAGCAAGCCGACAGACAACATCAAATTAAATGGAGAGAAACTCAAAGCAATTGTACTAAAATCAGGAACAAGACAAGGCTGTCCACTCTCACCATATATATTCAATATAGTACTCAAAGTACTAGCTAGAGCAATAAGACAACAAAAGGAGATCAAAGGGATACAAATTGGAAAGGAAGAAATCAAACTTTCATTATTTGCAGATGCGATGATAGTATATATAAGTGACCCCAAAAATTCTACCAGGGAACTCCTACCACTGATAAACTCCTTCAGCAATGTGGCGGGATACAAGATTAACTAACAAAAAAAAATCAGTAGTGTAGATGTAACCAACCGTCTTATTAAATAAGAAACACAGAGCCGATTCAGAGAAGAAAGCCAAGAGGTCAGAGCTAAGAGCCTTATCCTTCCTGCTTCAGCGATCCTCTTCAGCCAAGAGAGCTCTCTGAAAGGGACCTACTTCCTGTGTGTTTGTCTTTATATAGTCTTTCTGTTCTGCCTTCTCATTGGTTGTAAACTCAAACACATGACTGCCTTGTCACTGTCTGTCTGTAGAGACTTCCAGGTCTTCTATGGTTGGAATTGAGATTAAAGGCATGTGCCTCCAATGCTGGCTGTATCCTTGACCACACAGAGATCTACCTAGCTCTGTTTACCAAGTGCTGGGATTAAAGGCGTGCGCCACCACTGCCATGCTCTTGCTGTGGCTCTAATAGCTCTGACCACCCGGCAACTTTATTTATTAACATACAATTAGAATCACATTTCAGTACAAATAAAATACCACCATATTTACTCTTTTCTATTTTAATAAAAAGAAAAAAGAAAAAGGTTATAACTAACAAAAGAAAAACTATATACAAAAGTACAATAACTATATACAATATATACAAGTAATAAATACCTAAACAATGTCTAGTCCACTTGTATTTGACAAATTCAGAGAAAATAATTTCATTATCTATTTTATTTGGTAAGTCCAAAATGTATCTAATTCATTTTCTAATCTAATTAATCTTCAACTATAACTAACTAACCTTCAACTATAACTAACTAATCTTCAACTCCCTCTGAGACCCAAGAAGGAAATAATATTAGCTAACAAAAATAAAAACAGGAAGTGCATGCAAGCAACTTCCAAAAAATTTGTGAGTTGACAGAAACAGCCAGCTGCCTGGACAGTCACCTGAGGTTTCTCCACAGTGCTGGGGCATCATCTTCAGCCTATAGGCTTAGCGTATCTGACATACTCATTTGGGAAGTAGGATGTACACAAGGTCAACAGTTCAACCTCACATTGGGTGAGAGCAGTCCATGTACCAGAAACACCTGAATTCCACTAGTGTCATGTCATGATTCAGGATTTTAAATTCTGGAAATTGTTGATGTTTTTTGAATTCAGCTGTCCATTCTTCTTGGCTGTGTATATATGGCTTCATCTCAGCATCCTGTTCTTCTCCACATCCCTCTATCAAATGCCAGTCTACTATTGAGAGGCGTGAGCTTAGTTACTCTTCAAGAATAACTGTTTCAGCTGCTGTTCCATAGCACATCAGAAGCCACTGGGCAACTGCCTGTTCAGCTGCCTTCGAAGAAAAGGGCACTGTACCTTTTCCGAATTGTGAAGGCTACTTCAGGGATGGTGCCATATTGTCCTGGCCTCAGAAGATGCCTTTTTTTTTTCTTTAATTTATTTTAATTTATTTTGCTATACAATTCAGTTCTACATATCGGTCACGGATTCCCTTGTTCTCCCCCCTCCCGTCCCCCTCACCTTCCCCCCAACGCCCCCCCCCCCCATTCCCATCTCCTCCAGGGCAAAGCCTTCCCCACAGACTGAGGTCAACCTGGTAGACTCAGTCCAGGTAGGTCTAGTCCCCTCCTCCCAGGCCAAGCCAAACAATCCTGCATAGGCCCCAGGTTTCAAACAGCCAACTCATGCAATGAGCACAAGATCTGGTCCCACTGCCTGGATGCCTCCCAAACAGATCAAGCCAATCAACTGTCTCACCCATTCGGAGGGCCTGATCCAGTGTGGACCCCTCAGCCATTGGTTCATAGTTCATGTGTTTCCATTC